TTAACTCAGTGCGCTTCACTATCCTCGGCTGCATCACCACTTACCATCAGGTGGGATACGAGTATTAGTTAAGCGCTGGCTTAGAATAGTAAAAAAAAGAAATAGGTAAGAGGGTGGTACCTACCCAGCCATTCATCATCTTAATAGTCCTTCACAAGTCCACTGCTAAACATAGGCCTCCCACAAGTTTTGCCACAAAGCACGGTCCTGAGTTACCTGTATCCATCAACTTCCTGCATGTCTTACCAGGTCGTCACTCTCATCTAGTGGCGGTCACCCCACACTTCGCCTACTGGTACGAGGCTGCCACTCGAGAACCTTTTTTCCTCATCGGTTGTCGGTTCTTCGAGCTATATGGCCGGGCCATTGACACTTCAGCTTACTAAACCGTTGGGCTATGTCGGACACTCTGGTTCTACTGCGGAAATCCTCATTTCTAAGTTTATCATGCAGAGAAACTCTGAGCATAGCCCTCTCCATAGCTCGCTGAGCAACCTTGAGCTTCATCATCCGGCCAGCAGTGACTAAGTTCCATAGGTCATCACTTGCAACACGCACTGATTGTACAGTCTCGTTTTCTAGTTTTGAGGTATACCTGATGAGAAGATGTGCCGTAATTTCACGAACGCTGCCCAGCCGATTTGAATCCGTCGATTGACCTCTCGGTCGAAGTTGGACTTACCTAATCGGACTCTTTGTCCCAGGTAAACATACTCGTCAACAAGTTGCTCCCAAAAACTACCAGTATAGGTGTGACATGGACGTTATACATGATTTATGTTTTGTCCATGTTCATCTTAAGCACTATCGGTTGGGAGGCACTATTGAGGTCATACAGCTTAGGTCCTCCAGCGGTGCTGATATAAGGATTATATTGTCGGCAAATTGAAGGTGAGTGATGTACTCGCCGTTGATGTTAATACCGTATCCTTTCCAGTCCAAAAGCTTGAAAACGTGTTCCAATGCAGCGGTGAAGAGTTTCGGGGATATAACGTCACCCTGTCTTACACCCCTCTGCAATTGGATAGGTTTCATATTCTGATTCTGTTCTCGAATAGCCATCGAAGCTCTACTGTACAAACACTTTAGCACCTCGATATACCGACAATCAACTTGGCACCACTGGAAGGACTGCAGCACCGCAAACATTTCGGAGGAATCAAAGGCTTTCTCATAGTCCACATACACCAGACATAGTGGCAAATTGTACTCCTCAGACTTCGGTGCTAAAGCCTTTTCGGTACCGACTTGTTCGAGAGGCTGAAAGTCGTCGAGTCTGCATGCGAGACGATTCGTAACAACTATCGAAAACAGCACGTAGACATGGCTCAGATGGGAAATCGGTTCGTAGTTTTTCAAGTGAGCGTCGTCGCCTTTCTCGAAGAACAAGACCACCGCACTTCACGCGTCCATCATCGCTCCACGCCTCCGGTGTAGTGCTACCTCCATGGTATTATTTTATTATTATTATTATTGGACGGAATTAAAGATCTTTTGAAGGACTTCAAGTACGGGTTTTCCACCCGCTTTCAGAAGCTCCGCTGTAACTCCATCCTCGCCTGGGGCCTAGCCGTTTTAAAGGTGCTGGAGAGCCATTCTAAACTCGCTCAGACTGACGTCCGGAATATCATCGGAATAGTGTCGGATAAGACTTGCTCTTGGATCGTTACTCACACTTGCGTTTGTCTCCAACTATGATGTGTACTGGTGCCCATAGAACCTTTCAATCTCACTCAAAATCTCAGGTGTCCCGGAAACGACGCTACCACACTCGGTCTTCAGCTTCGAAAGTTGGCTTTTTCTGGCAGACAGATCTCTGGCAAAGACTTTGGAGCCCTGGTTCCGCTCGACCGCTTTTTCAATACGAGCAGTATTAAAGTTGCGTAAGTCCAGCCGCATTCATTTGGAGATCTGTCTGTTCAGTTGTCTGTATGTACTGATTTATGTGTATGTGTATGTGTATAAGTATGTATGTACTGAAGACTGCAGCTTCATTTCCCGTCTAACAGCCATGAGATTACGAGTGTGATCGGAGAGTTTTTGTGTTCTTCTGCGGCGGGTCTTGCAAAACTTAGCTCCAACCGCATGGACAGTTTCCATGTGCTTGTCATTCATATTGTTCACTGCATTGCAATCTTCTAGACATTGAAAACGGTTTCATAACTCGAGCTGAAAGGTTTCGGGACTTAGGAATAGAGCACGAGAGGGGCGAAGCCTTGACTTCATTAGACGAGACCTCTCCAACTAAATGTTATTATGTTCAGGTTCAGTGTGCCTCTCACCATTAGGTGAACACTGCCGGTTTTCAACCTCGCGATCACTGAGACGTAACTGAACAGTTGTCATCTGGTCGTCATAATGAAGTTAATCTCATTTTTTGGCGAACCGTCGGGGCTCGATCAGGTCCACTTTCTGTAGGGCCGCTTCTGGAAGAAAGAGTTCATCATTAAGAGTCCCTCTTTCTCCATGAAGTCGCGCAACCTTCGTCGACACACTCACAATCTTTACTACGTTGTTAAGGAGAGACTTGTGGACGATAAATCCGACACCTCCTTGGGACAGCCCTCCCGGTGACAGAAGAAGTTGCCAGATTCGAGGATTACCATGTACTCCCCTCTCTTCGCCCCTCAGATAATCCTATAATAATCCAGCGCAACTTGTCTATCTCTTCTTCCACCTCCAGGATCTTCTCGTCAGTCCTCAGGGTGCGTGCGTTATATGTTGCAAGGTTGAGTCGTCTTAGGTGGCAACCGAACCTGCCCCGGAGATTCTTAGCACACCCTGTACCGCAGTTACCATGGTCGCCACCGTAGCCAGGAATATCGGGACCGCCGGGGACTGGGGGCCGTCTCTTCATTACTTTAATCACGGGGGGTGTATTGCCATAGTTGCCGTGCTTGGCGAGCGGCTTGACAACCGCAGTTTTTTTATTGTTGTTTTGCTGTTATCAGAAAGATACTGCTGCCCATCTTCTGCCTCAGTTTTCCTAGGCCACCTCTTACGACACCCACGGTAAGATATGGGGTAGTGGGTATTCTTGTAGTATGAACTTATAGTATCATACTACAAGTATGAACTTATGTATTCTTAAGTTTTGCAGTTGTATGCTTGGGTTAGGATTTAATTTTATTAATTACAGGATCCCAAGCAGATGGTAGCATCCAGCCATTTTCTGTGTTGAAATTAGAATGTTTTTGATTTAAATAGCCTCGCAAATCATCCTTAGAAGGAATTGGTGTTGCTTAGCGAGGATTTTTGGTCTATCAAATCTGATGTAGTGACGGGAGCGATCCTGTACGTGTTCACGGACTGCAGACTCTGCAGACGCTCCGGGAAGTAATAGTACCGAGGCTATAACAATACCAAAACAACAGACAGTCGACGGGCAGTGAGCATAACCTAAAGTTACTCATCCAACAGATCCATAATTTCTTCTTTAGATAGAAATAGTGGCTGTCTGTGTGCGTAAAATTCATAGCTTTATTAAATTCTTAGCTTTAACTCATTATTTTCATTCTAACTAATGTTTTACAGATATCGTTTTAAAGTCTAAAATCGAATAATAAATCTAGTAAAATAATCCTGCTGAGAGAAATTTATTAACTTTGAAGTGAAATAGAAAAAGATATTAAAAGTGTAACAATTTGAAGTTCCCAGACGGACAGATCTGAAATTTAGTATGATTGATTTGACGAATTTAAAAATAAATCTATTTTTAGGCTCTGTATTATCCTTTTGATATCTGCATTGAAAATTCAAGGTGAAAGTCCGAGACGCCCGCCATTGTGATTATCAATTCAATATCCAAGCAAGCAAGGCCAATGTCCAAAAGTAGATACGTGCCAGAGTCATGCTGCAGCTATATAATGGTTGTCGCATGAACGGGTCAGCTTGACCGAGGTAAGACCATGCTCTCACAGGATACCAGCGTAAATAGCAGTTTAGTTCTAACGGCAAACGAAGAAACGAGGCATTCCTTCTCAGTCATCAGCTGAACTGTGAGTTCGTTTGTCGTTGTTATTCTATAAAAAATATTTTACAAATTGATGAAAAAGATGGTTATCCGGAATTTATTACCATGTTTGAAGTCGTGTAGCAGATCATTATCATAACATAATTGTAGATATTAACATTAAGTGCACGTGTATCAGTTGTTGCTAAAAGCAATACTTTCAAATCAATACTATTCTAATTTCAGTTTCAGGTTTTGTAATAATTTTAGTATAATATTTTATGGAATTTATGGAATTTCTTAGCGGAGGCCTATGTTCAGCAGTGGGCCGTAATGATGATGATTGTGACGAGATGATGTAATGATGATAGTATGATATTACGAGTAAATACACATTGGATGTCACATTTTTAATTGACAGTTTTGCAGTTGTTGCAATACCTCGCTCCCGCCAGTCAGCTATACAGGAAGTCCAGGAATACCAGCGTAAAATAGCAGCTTAATGCTGCTGTGCTTCCTATGGTGAGTACAGAGAACCGGAGACACTTTTTACTGGAAATGAGCCATTCCATCTTAGTCCTCATTGGAGTGACAACGCATCTGCATTTTCATTCTTAATCTAGGATAGATAAGGATGTCTATGGGCTATAGCAACCACTTACCATCAGGTGAACTGTGTGCTCGTTTACCATCCCATTCTATATAAAAAAGTTTACTATACCACGTAGTAAGTGGAATATATACAGATGTCATTAAGTGGCGAAGCTTGCGAAGTCACTTATTGATTTCACGATGTCTGTCCGTCTGTCCGTCTGACCGTCTGTTCGTCTGTCCCACGATTATCTCGAGAACGGTTTCGAATTTTCATATTCTGTTTTCAGCAATCGATTACTGATCACCCAGGCATCTGAACCTCCTATTTTGAAACTGATTGCTCAACGGCAACCGTTAGAAACCGCTACAAAGCTGTTTGCTTCGCCACTTTGCTATGCTGTTAGCTTGCTAGGTTTATTATTAGGTAGTGATAAGTAACAAAGTAATGCAACGAGTATTATTCATTGTATTATATTTATACAAGTTTAATTTACAGACAATTAAGTCGAAAAAACCTAATCATAATAATCACAGCTTAATTTAAGTATAGTAAAGTACAAACGCTTAATGATAATTTAGAATTTACATAATAAATAGTAAAATTCATAATAACATATCCAATTTCTGCTTAACTTATACATCGGTTTAAGTATTTACATGCAATTTAAATCCTTTGTAATTTCTGAATTTAGTTATTAGAAATTTTATAAAATTTTGATAATTTAACACCCTCCTCGTTAAATTAAAAATTAAACCCTATGTGTACTAATAAGGTACTCGTAGTAGTAACAAAAAAGTATAATAATGAATGACACATATGGCAAATGTTTTTCACACATGAAAAGAAACTATAGGATTTTGTAACATATCGATTCCCGGAAAAAAATATTGTTTTAGACACACATACGCGTAGAAAAATTGTGTGTGTAAGTTCGTAAATACTATTTTATACAATAACTGAATCACTCTTGAGTGTTCCGGTTTCAAATTTACGTATTATTGTCAACTGTAAAAGTATCTTACACTGTCTCATTTAATTACATTTATTGTTTAAATTACTGAGTATTATCAACATAAAATCTATGTTTTTTTTTTCTAATCTTAGTTCTTGTTTAATGCGAGTTTCCTATTTCGTAGTTTTTAAAAAAAATATCGATTAGATAATCTAACAGTTCACCTGCCAACATTAAACATAGACGGCCACAGGCGTGTTGACAGAACCAGGAATAGGTAGAGAACAGGAACTGAAATAGGTAAAGGAGTGGTAGAGACGGACTTCCAGGTTCCACACTCCTTATTTTAAAACAAAAAAAAACTATATTCTCAAAGAAAATAGCCAGGCACATTATAAAATGCCTTGAGCCTTACTGATGACGTCACGAAAGTTTTGATTAGGCATTGAAATGAGTGATTTATTAATTTCGCAAATTATATTATTTTGTTATCATACATTACTGTCATAATTCAAACAAAATTTTAAATTAATTTTACTAATTTTATAGTACTGTCGAATTAAATATCTAATTAGACCTATTGATGATGATCGCAATGCGACCATTGATAGCTATTAAAGCCCATTATTATTATAATAAATAATATAGATTTAAACCACAAATGTTCATCGAATTTGAAGTAGATAATAATATTCAAGAGAATAGGACTAGTTATCAGATTAAATTATTCTTACGCGTGCTTTTATATGAGGAGGGATAACTAGCTTCTGTAAATCTAGCGTCGTTTAATCGTACATTTTATCATCAATAACTGTCGTCGATTCGAGTAATGCTTCGCCAGCTTCTGTTTTCGGATCCTGATCATCGACTTGATCGTAATCATTTTCAGGTTTGATCTCCTCGCGTACTCGTAAAAGTGTATTGGGAACCGTGTAGGCCACACTGCTGAAAGTATTTCCTGTGCAAAAATAAACGGAGCAAAGTAAATTTAAAAGTGTAATGGTAAAAAACAAATACCTTTGATATAGATTCTATTTTTAACTTTTCTCTTATATTCTGAATGTTTCTTTTAATTTCATCACCATATTTACTTTCATTATCTAGAACTTAAAAAAAAACACGTTAGTTTGCAGCTTTTTGGGCGCGTGGACAGAGATTTCTCGTCTGTTATAGAATTTATGTTGAAAGAGTTCTGTCATACTACATTTGTAGCATCATAATTGTCCTCAACTACCCATAAAAATCGATAGTTATCTAAATCAACTACGAATGATTAATACTAGTGTGTAAGAAACTAAAAAAGCTTTGAGCAAAATCTGTGAGGATCTTAGTGAGAAGCTAGATCATAGTATATTTGTAGGTAGGTTTTAACATACCTGCAAAATTACTACCCACGGACACCTTCAACAACCTTCAAGCAAAAATATCGTATACCTCACAACAGTCTGTAGGCAGTAGTAGATAATCCGACTGCGTGTCATTTACAACAAGTCTTCCGTATATTGGATAGACTCATATCCAGCGGTAGACTATTAAAACTAATGAAGAAGAAAAAGAAGTAGCTAATAGTGACTAGTATTGGCAATACTGGTATTAATCTAAATATTTTTTTCTCCTTAAACCGGAATACAACAGTAGGAGTGTTTCTGCGGTAAAAATAGTGGTGGTACTAACTCAGACGGACTCTGAAGCAGAAAGATACTAACGGCTTATAAAAATAAAACTGCTTATAATAAAAATTATATTGCTATATTTTTTACCTTCATTGGTGGGATATTCTTTTCTCTTCCTCCACATCTGACCAATAACCACAGTTACCAGAATAAGTAGTAACAAACCCACCGCGCCTCCTACCATCCAAGTCAGTCCCAAACCAGCTAACCTGGGAAGAAATGCAAAAATTTTAAGCAAATGAAGTGACAAATGAGCACACAGTCCACATGATGGTAAGGAGACGCTGCGGCTCATATACAACTACATCTACCCACCTGAGAAGTAACATGGAATGCCGCGTTTCCAGTAAGAAGGGCCTCCGTTTCTTTACACTCATTATACGACACACTGCAGCATTAAGCTGCTATTTCTCACTGGTATTCTGTGAGACCGTGGTCCTTCCCCGGTCGAGCCAACTCATTCATGCTACAGCTATAGGATGCTGCAACGAGATTTAGTATACAATCCTTCTAATTAAAATATATAATACAACTACATATTATCATTTCTTTTGATTCAAATCTTTTTTAAATAGTTTACCTCATGTTAAGTGGCAACTGCAGTCCATAAACATCTGCCGTCAACTTCAAACAAAGAAGGCCACAGGTGCGTTGTCTCCACTAAGGAATGCGCAGTTTGTAATTATACTGGCTTTCTATACCCTTTGGACTGGAACACAGCAGTGCAAGCACTGCTATATGGCAGCAGAAATAGTTAAGAGGATGTTATCAACCCAGATATATTCCTAAACAGACAAGAAGTGTTTCTGCCACAATACAAAACATATTGTCCGGGCAAACTATAATCAGTAAAAAACCTTACTTTCGAGATATTAAGTTAACATTAATAATATAACAGTTAACAGGCTCGATCGGGGAAGAACCACGCTCTCACAGAACACCAGCGTAAAATGGCAGCTTGACACTGCTGTGTTCCGTATGGTGAGTGTAGAGAACCAGAGACTCATTTTACTGGAAAAGAGGCATTCCATCTTAGTCCTCACGGGTGACGACGCATCTGCATTTTTTTGATTCTTTATTGAGGATAAATGTAGATGACCATCAGGTGGACTGTGTGCCCGTTTGTCGCCTTATCCTATTAAAAAAAAAACATACATACAATAAAAATACAGTCAAATAGAGGACTTCTCCTTTTTATGACAAAAATATCAAATTTTGATCTTACACGGTGGAAGAAGCGATTTCAGCTGATTCCACTTCTGCAGGGAAGAAACATGGTCTATCGTCTGAACACCAGCAAGCGTCTTCCGTACAGTTGCCGTCACAAGAGTCACAGTCCACTCTAAAAAAACAATTAAAAATTATGTAAAATGGACACACAGCATAATTTTTCAATAAAGATAGTGTAACAAGTGTACTTGCTAAAGCTAAAGAAAATTCGCCCCGACCTTATTATTATGATTACCGTACATATGTACTGTGTGTAATCGGTGTAAGTATATAAACTACCCCATATATTCGTCCCGTGGGTGTCGTAAGAGGCGACTGAGGGTTTGTTGCCCAGGCGATGGGCAGCAGTCTATTCATAATAACAACAACAAATTTAAAAAAAAAACTTCTGTTGCTAACCCGCCTGCAAGGTGGTGCAACAATAGCAAATAACTATCATGACGCACTGCTTTGGGAGGCCTGTTCTTCAGCAATAGGCTTTGTTAGGTTGTAGTGATGATGATGATTACTGTAGAAGTATTTTTATAATTAAACACCTTGTTACTGTCGAACATGCCCGACGCATTATACCTCCATGGCAGATCAGGTATCCACCGAAATGCATTATTATATTGTACTCGATTGTCTTAGCCGTGGTAGCCAAGCTCAACGCTCACTGTAAAACAACCCGGGTTCAATTCACACCGGCACCAATGAAATTGTTAATTGCAATTTATAAGTGCTTATTTACCACGTGCTCGGCGGTGAAAAAAAACGTGAGGAAACCTGCACGTCAGGAATTTAAAAAAATCAAAGACATGTGAAGTCCGGCAACACGCATTGCGGAAGTGCGGCGGACTTTTCCTTGCCCTACAACCCTGTCAGAATGAGAGGAGGCCTGTGCCCAGAAGTGAGACGTATGCAGGATGTAAACTTTACTCGAATATTATTGAATGTATATTGCGTTTAATAAGTGTGTAAAAATAAAACACTAGTACCTTACGAATAAAACCTTTAAGAATGCTTTACGTATTTTGACCGCGTTTCATTTTAACTTATTTTAATTCCCTTCTAAAACGATCCCGACGTAACGCTCCCGAAACGTGTTGAATTAAAAATAGGTTAAAGTTAAACGAAAATCATTTATAGAGCAGCCTTAGTTCATCCCCGTGATTATTACAATTTAAAGTGCTGATTCATCACGTGCTCGGCGGTGAAGAAACTCACCGTGAGGAAACCTGCTGTCAGGGACGTATATATGTTGTAATTTTTAACTTTAAACACGATTAAAGCCGCAGAATTTGTTTTATTCAATTTTAATATTAGCGTTCCCTATTTTTTATAGATTGTTAGATTGGTATAGCTTTAAAAGTCAATTGTGAGAATTGTCTCCAATATAAAAATAAAATTAATTGACACCATCATCATGATCTTCACTAAATATTATGTTTACTATAACAAGCCTTTCGAATCTTACTACTGGAAAAATACCTTAGTAAATAACATAATTAAACTAGAAGCCTTCATGTGTCCCCCTGCTGGGTACATGCCTCCCCTCTCTCTTATTACTGAGAGAACTGGAACGATGAATCCGTGCTGCTCCAGTATGAATAAGCGCACTTCACAAGCGCTTGAATTTTTTTTTATTTTTCGGACATGCAGCTTTCCTCACGATGTTTTCCTTCACTAAATAATTGTGTTCATTTTATATCATCATCATCATTACTGCCCATTACAAGTCCACAGCTGGACATAGGCCTCCCCCAAGGAGTTCCACAACGTTCATTTCACATGATGTTCCCATATTATTTTAAAGGCAGTCCGGTACTTCATTTCTAATTGCATTTTAAGTACTGATTTACCACGTACTAAGCGATAACAAATAACGGCTTAATGCTGTTGTGTTTCGTATGGTGAGTGTAGAGAACCGGATACTCTTTTTACTGGACACAAGGCATTCCATCTCAATCCTCAGAGGTGACAATGCATCTCAATTTTGATTCTTAATGGAGGATAAATATAGATGTCTATGGGCCACAGCATCCACGTACTATCAGGTGGACTGTGTGCCCGTTTGTCACCCTTATTCTATTAAAAAAAAACAACGTGAGGAAGTCTTTTTTGTGAAGATTTAAAAATGGAAGCCATGTAAAACTCCATTAAAACGAAAGGAGGCCGATACACAACAGTGGAACTAGTAATTAGCCTACAAATTTACTCTTCTTAAATAATTGAGAGCCCTGTCTCTTGTAGTTTTGAAATTTTGACTAAATATTCACTGGTAGTACTACTTACGGTTGTATAGCTATGCAGGTTCCATTTTCAAGAACGTAACCTCGTTGACAATCACATTTTCCAGAAAGAAAACACACTCCATTCTCGCAAAGACCCGGGCAAGGCTTATAGCATATAGACGGATTTGTATCATTTCTTATGAAACCTGGATTACATGCGCACGTATCAGGTGATTCGCAGTGTCCATTGATGCAGTATTCAGAACAAACTGGCTGACATGTTTCTTGAGTCACATTGTTGTCAGACACGGTATATTGGAGTTCATAACCAGAATCACAAGTGCAAACATCTGGTGCTGTGCACACACCATGCTTACAGGGTGTTTCACAATCTGGTGTGCAAGTTTTTCCATCTTTTTTCGAATACCCATCCAAACATTGGCATTCGTTTGGTGCTACGCAAGTTCCATTTTCGCAATCATCGCAAACCGGCGAGCATTGCCACTGACTTTCGTTTGTATACCCCTTGTGACACTTGCAAACGTCTGGGGCCACGCAAGCACCATTAACGCACTCTTGCGCACATTTAGGTATGCAACTAAATGGATCTGAGTAAACAGCATCATTATCCCATGCCGTCATATTATTAGTATACTGACAAGATTCGTTAAAGCAAGGGTGCTCATAGCCGGGAAGACATTTTGGTGCACAATGAGTCGTGTTTACTTTCTCGAAGCCAGTGTCACACAGACACATGTTATTTCCCTTACATTTTCCATTCACACATGGTGGATCACACACAGGGTCCACGCATTTATTATTCACCAATAGAAGCGGGGGGTCGCAGCTGCACTTGTTCGGTCCAACACATTTGCCCCGCTCGCAACCGAATCTGCAGTGGAAGACACATTTTTTGGTAGCCACGTCATACATCCATCCTTCACAGCAGACTAATTTAAACGTCGGCTTACCTGGCTGTAAGAAAAAAAAGTTAAATTTTTAAAATTACTGGCAGTTGCACAATGTGTAAAAAGTGAAAAAAAAAAGTTTTTAAAGAATAATGTGACAAAAGAGCACTAAGTCCACCTGATGGTAAGTGGATGTCCATAGACATATACATCTTCTTCGATTAAAAATTAAAATTCAGATGCGTTGTCAACCATGAGGACTAAGATGGAATGCCTCGTTTTCGGTAAAAAGGGTCTCTGGTTCTCTACACACACCATTCGAAGCACAGCAGCATTAAGTTGCTATTTTACCCTGATATTTCTGTGAGAGCGTAGTCCTTCCCTGGTCGAGCTGATTTATTCGTGCTGCAGCCATAAAATAGCTAAAACGTGGCTCCATCCCAAAGAAACGTGACATATTAATTTAAAATGTTTACCATGAATTCACAGCGTAATAGAATCCATACATCACCCCATCACACCGCGTAAAAGGCGACTACGGGAAAAGCCAGAAAGATCTTATAGTCTTACGATGTACCCAATGCAGCAACGGGGAGTAGCAGGGTATTTCAAATTATCCGGTTCGATGAAAATGGTTGACCCTCCTCACGGGTGTCATTCTAGGCGATGAATACATAACGCTAATCAATAAACAATTGACTAATTTTGAAAAATGAGTTCCATGTTCTTAAAATAAAATTAATTCGAAATTTGAATTCCTAACAAAACAAAAATTATTTTGATTTGAAATGGCCAGTACTGCAGAACGGCAATTTCGTTACCGTACCTATTATTTATTATAAATTGTCACTTTTTATTCAATAATAATATTACGTAGTAAGTGATTATTATTATTGTTTTATTCTTAATTTCCTTTCTGATATTTTTTTATCGTTTTGCACCTATCATTATATTTCACTACGCCAATTGTTAACTTGGAGAGAATTCCAAAAGGCATTCAGTCCAGCCTTTGTAACTGGTAGCAATAAAACATAAATAAAAAACAAAAAATTGAGGAATGAACCCCGCTTCTATGTGACTATGGGTAGTAAAAATATCTACGTCTTAGTAAATTCTATTGCTATATATATATTAGCGTCTATATGTTAAAAGCGAATATTAAAAAGTTAATTACTAAGTCATAAATTATCAATCAATATCTGCAACATTGACGGGATACAATGATCACTGTTCATGGCCACGGCTGTGTGAATCATACCAATTTATCATACAGCTTACAGCGAATCGGTCGGATTACGCATGTGAGAGTCATCCTTTTTTTTTACTATCGTGGGGTAAATCCTCATGGATACCTTCGGCTGCGGAGACAACAGAAATGTTATGCCGGACTTCTACCGGCTAAAACCCCACGATAGTCACCATCATAACAAGAAGTCCAGGGATCTCCGTTCGGAACGCAACCGGGGCCACTCTCTCGCTTTGCCTTATTAAATCACATCCCCGGCAGTACTTACTGCCCCCAGTTCCCTCGCAGTACTAACACGGTGTCTCGGGACCAATTCCGAGTCACCGTCCTCCTCAAGGGTTACATTGCTAGGCGTTCGGGGTCCCTGCACCGAGTGCCCGCAACCCCAGAGGCCCCGTTGGTGTAAAAGGGAAGAGGGATCCACAGCTGTGTCGATAACTTTTGATTCGCTTTCATAGTGAACTGATTTGTGAACAAATTGTTGGTAACGCAGTGGCCAGGTGTTTGGCTGCGGCGTTGGCGGTTTCTAACAAATGTGTGTATGGTCTACAAATAGTTGTTTCGGATCTGGATGTTTTTCTATGTGCTATTTATGCGTGTAAAATGTCTCTACGATACAGGAGAAAACCCTAATGTAAGGAGCAACGTACTGTAGAAAAAAAATCTATGAGATTCAATGAGCATGGAAGGAGAAAAATTTACTTTTAATAAAAAGTAAAATCCGACTTCAAAGAACAATACTGAATAAAATAAATTCACTGACTTCAGTCAGTGGTAAAATATAGTATAGAAGAAATGAAAGCCAGAATGTTAAATTATTTTAACCTTTTTAGAACATATTACGTAGTAGAGCCACACTGCAGCTATATTATGGTTGTAACACGAATGGGTCGGCTCGACCGTGGAAGGACCACGCTCTCACTGAACACAGGTAGAGCCACGGTGCAGTTGTATTATGGTTGTAGCATAAATGCGTCGGCTGGATCGTAGAAATACCCCGCTCTCACAGAATACCTGCGTAATATAGCAGCTTAATGCTGCTTGTGTTTCGTATTGTGAGTGTAGAGAATCGGAGACCCTTTTTAGTAGATATGAAGTATTCCATCGTAGTTCTCAGGAGTGATAACGTCTGTTACATCTAGATGTCTATGGGCCACAGCATCCACTTACCATCACTATATAACTACAAAATAAGAATCTGAATGGGCGTAGGGAAAGACATTTATAACTTAAATTAAATCCTCAACCCTTTTTGTAAAGCAATAAACAGATCTTATCAAGCGAAAATATACGATTTTAATGTCATCAAAACTTTGCTTTGGATACCTACAATTTAAGTAAATAAACTTACGGTTTTACCCCGCCCTCGGACTTGTTTTTTGACTCTGAAACAAAATTAAGTTTGTTATTTTTTACCTCAGCACTACATAATTTTCATTAAAAATTAATTAAACTGAGCAGCTTTCTGAAGCTACACAAATTTTCAGATGTTTGCTAGAAGTATTTGTTTAACATTGTGTGATGTTGTGTATTCTTATAAACTCACTTAGAGACCTTTTTAAGGTATAGACTTGCAATGAATATTTGGCTAATATTCGGTATTCGGCCTATTCAGCTGCTTTTATCCTATTCAGTCGAATATCGAATATCTAGGTACTATTCGGCCGAATACCGAACACTTAAGTAAGAAGTTCTATATGTTCTATAATATGGTATTGTAGATAATTAATAAATTGAAAAAAAAATATTTATTCTATACCTAATTTTTTTTCTTGTAATCATTAAAGTAGTCATAGGTGCATAATCAACTTCCATATTATAAAAATTAAAGAACTATCAGATAATATATGCACTTGAATTATCGCAATTAAAGTGGTAGATGTTTTACATGGTAGAGCCATGCTGCAGCTATATTAGTAGTATAGTTGTAGCACGAACGGGTCGGCTCGATCGGGGAAGGACTACGCTCTCACAGAATACCAGCGTAAAATAGCAGCTTAATACTGCTGTGTTTCGTATGGTGAGTGTAGAGAACCGAAGACCCTATTTACTGGAAACGAGGCATTTCATCTTAGTCCTCACGGGTGACAATGCATCTGCGTTTTGATTCGTAATCGAGTATAGATGTAGATGTCTATGAGCCACAGCAACCACTTACTATCAGGGGGATTGTGTGCTCGTTTGTCTTCTTATCCTATAAAAAAAAGATAATGGTACAGAAAGACTATTTTTATTTTATTTTCTGGCAGTAGTTTACTCCTTTTCTTCTCGTAGATAATTCCGGCAACACTACTTTCATCCCGGCCGAATACTTTTGCTTAATATTCTGCTATTCGGCCAGGAAGTCCGCAGAATATTCGGTAATCGGCGTGTGGCCAATTAGTATGTGGCCAATACCTTTTACACAATGAGTGATGCCCCTAATTTTAACACGCGTAATAAATCTAAACTTGCTGTTCAAAAGTGTGAACTCCATAAACACAGTTCATTTTTGAGTAGATGTATAAATTTTTATAAAAAGATTCCCTGCAACATTAATGCAAAGGCAAATTTGCATAAATTGTACATATATATACATGTAAAAATAATGTATTTTATTAATTATTACTGTAAATATTGTATTTTAATTTGATTCTATATTAATTATTAACATTTATAGTCCGTCTTAATATGCTACGCCCGTACAGGGTTGTCACATGCTGTCTAAATATATCGTAACAACTTTATACTTTGTGACATGCAATAAATAAATTATGAAATAAATTTAAATGGAATTGAAAAAAAAATAATTTGTCGTCTTTTTTTAAAAGTTTGCATAATTGATCATTTTAGTCAGTCATTTTAGAATGTACTGGACAGTGTTTTTTTTTTATTTATTCAACGAGATTCTATACTTAAGATTATTCTGTCACTTCCTATAGTCGCCTTTTACTCATGGACGAAATGGGGTTATCGATTCGCTTTCTCCGCCACTCTACGATTTTCTCGACTGTGATTAAAAGATCTAACATAAACCTGCTCTAAACATTCTCCTGTTCCACACAAAATAACAGTTATATATTTTATTAGTATCGTTTATCTATTTATGAATTTTTATTAAAGTGTTACTTACTAACGACTAGCAGAGTCTACTTCACCTAAGAGTGCCTCGTAAAGAGGCGAAACACGTGTCGTATTATCGACGGCGGTGTGTGTTTCCTAGTGTAGTGGTGTTGGGAGTAGTGGTGACGGGGATAGTGCAAGCAATTGAAGGAGGCTGGGAGGTGCTCTTCAAACTAGGTAAGATACATTATTTTATTTCAATAAGCTGATATAGGCAAAGTAATTTTAATGCAAACTCTATGAAAATATGATTGAAATTCCTTATAAAATAGAAATATTGCGTCGTACATTGAAAAGCTTCGATTAGTTTAAAGTGTCATAGAGGACAGCGCGTTAACCTTACGATATCCGTCGGCGGTCATCCGTTATGAACAAGCAGAGGAAGTGCGGATAAATGATCACTTTGAAACTGCGCTGACGCATAAATATGATCTTTATATATACACAAATAAATAAAATTGGAGTGTCTGTTTGTAACGTCAAAATACGAGTAACAGCTTTTCACTAAATGCATATGAAAGTATATATGAAAATTATAACAAAAACACAATTTTTAAAATTTTTGTCTGTCTCTCTGTCAGTCTGTCTGTTTGTTCTGGCTAATCTCCGAAACGACTGGACCGATTTTGATGAGACTTTCACTGGCAGACATCTCATGTTATAAGGAGTAACTTAGGCTACATATGATTTAAAAAAAGAATTAGGGTTCCGCGCAAAAAATTAAAAACTTAAATTACACGCGGACGAAGTCGCGGGGAACAGCTAGTATATATATATATATAATTATTCTGTATTTGTCACTGAACTCTTCCTAAACAGATGGACTGATTTTGATGAATTTTTGTGTCTGCTTTGTTTTTGTTCGTTTCCTGGTTGTGTTTCATATGGGGAGAGACAAGCACCGCGGACGTCACTGGCTAGGCATTCCATCTCAGTCTTCGGGATTAAGCGCATCTGCATTTTGATACTCAAACGAAGATAGACGTAACCCTCAGAAGACACTGGTTTGCACGTTTACCGCTAAAAATAACTCCCTTATCATATCTCTTCAATTTCAGGGCTCTCCCCTCGCTGCCTTAGCTATAATCGGAATCCTCAGTGTCGAAATATCGGATGACGTGCAATTTCATGGTCAAATGGAAGAGAAGGCTAAATTGGCCTCTAAAACGCTTGGCGTGCTCACCAGAGCGGTATTTCATGCCTGCATACTGCTTGCAACTTTACAAGGCGCAAGTTCGACCTCACATGGAATACTGTTCTTATTTCCGGGTCGGGGCTCCCCAGTGTCAGCTCCTTCCACTTGGCCGCATCCAGTGCAGAGCGCTTCGAATCGTCAACGATCTAATTCTCTCCGATCGCCTAGATTCACTGCGAGGAGGCGTTGCATCTCTTTGCATTTTATATCGCATTTACCACGGGAAGTGCTCAGAGGAATTGTTTGGATTAATTCAAGCCGCCAAATTTGACCAACGGACATCGCGACAAAATTCACGATACCATCCACAACGCGTGGATGCTTGGCGGTCCACCACTGCGCGTTTTACTTGGAGTTTTTTTCCTCGTACAACTTCTCTGTGGAATTGTTTACCACCGGCGATTTTTCCAGACTTTTCTTAAAAGCCGGCAATCATCTGCAATTCTCCTGGTGTTGTAGTTGTTTATGAGCGGTGGTAGTCACTTACCATCAAGTGAGCCCAATGCTCGTTTGCCCCCTCTTCTATAAAAAAAAACGTTTATGGGCGACAGCATCCACTTAACGTCAGGTGGGCTGTATTCTCGTTTGTCACTATTAGCCTATAAAATAAATATCGAAAGTAAACTTTATTGCACAATTAGTAAGTAAACATAATTGACTTAATGTTCTTCTATCAATTAAAAAAATGACTGAAAGATCCAAATTAAACTGATTTTTATTTAACTAGGTGGTAATTCCATATCTATCAAGTCAGGTGGCAACGTAGTTTTTGATACTTGCCATAGACACTGTTATCTACAAGTGACCTGCCCCTGCTTTGCCTGGGTGAAATTTATTAATGTGACGTCATTTAGAGTTTTAAAATTAATTATCAATAGATGTATAATAATTTATCAATATTTCCATTTCACAAAAAAAATTCGAAGGTTTTCAGATAAAATATAGCTAAACCCCTGGAACCGCTCTCTATCTGTTCGTAAAGTTTCATCACAATCTTTTCAGTGATTCCGGAAATAAGCGCGGACAGACAGATAGTCAGGCAGACAAAAATATTACAAATTGTTATTTATGTCTTAATGACTTAAAAATAACATCATCATCATCATGCCACAAAGCACGGTCCTGAGCCACCTGCATCCACCAACTTACCAGGTTGTCATTCCATCCTGTGGGGGGTCGCCCTACAATTCACCTAACGGTACGAGGCTGCCACTCGAGAACTTTTTTCCTCATCGGATTTCGGTTCTTCGAGCTATATGACCGGCCCATTGCCACTTCAGTTTACCAATCTATTGAGCTATGTTGGTCACTCTGGTTCTACTGCGGATATCCTCATTCCTAAGTTTATCACGCAAAGAAACCCCAAGCATAGCTCTCTCCATAGCTCGCTGAGCGACCTTGAGCGTCCTCATACGGCCAGCAGTGAAGGACCATGTCTCAGATGCATAAGTCATCACTGGAAACACGCAATGGTTGTACAACCTAGTTTTGGGGTTTTGAGGCATGTATGACGAGAATATGTGTCGTAATTTCCCGAACAATTTGCCAAGTTGAATCCGTCGATTAACCTCTCGGTTGAAGTTGTACTTACCTAGTCGGACTATTTGTCCCAGGTAAACATACTCGTCAACAACTTTGAGCTTAGTGCTCCCAACAACTACCAGCATAGGTGTGACATGGACATAACACGTGATTTTTGTTTTGTCCATGTGTATCTTAAGACCTATCCATTGGGAGACACTATTGAAGTCATTGATTATAGTGCTTAGGTCCACCAGCGATTCTGCCATAAGGATTATATCGTCGGCAAATAGAAGCTGAATGATGTACTCACCATTGATGTTAATACCGTATCATTTCCAGTCCAGTAGCTTGAAATCGTCTAACAATTCAGCGGTGAAGAGTTTCAGGGATATAACGCCACCCTGTCTTACACCTCTCTGCAATTGGATAGGTTTCGTACTCTAGTTGTGTACTCGGATAGCCATCGTAACCCTACTGTACAAATACTTCAGCACTTCGATATATCCACAGTCAACTTGACACCGCTGAAGGGACTGTAGCACCGCCTAAATTTCGACGGAATCAATGGCTTTCTCATAGCCCACATACGCTAGGCAAAGTGGCAGATTGTACTCTTCAGTCTTCTGTACAATTTGCCGAAAGGAATGTATATAGTCTATGGTACTAAAGCCTTTTCGGAAATCGGCTTTCACGGGAGGCTGGAAGTCGTCGAATCTGCGTGCGAGACGTATCGTAATGGCTCTCGAAAACAGCACGTAGACGCGGCTCATAAAAGAAATCGGTCCATAATTTTTCAAGAGAGCGTTGTCGCCTTTCTTGAAGAAAAAGACCACGTTTGTGTTCAGTTTGCTTCTAACCATTCGATGATCGCTACCAGTTTTCACAACAGTTTTCAGAACAGTTGGCATCTAATCGGCACAGTGAAGTCAATCTCATTTTTTGTCGAACCGTCGGGGCTCGACCAGGTCCACTTCCTGTGGGGCCGCTTCTGGAAGAAAGAGTTTATCATTAAGAGTCCCTCTTTCTCCATGAAGTCGGCCAACTGCTGGACCCTTGGGTTCCTTTGCCCTATTCCGAATTTCCCTACTTTTAGCTCACTGTTCTCTCTTGTATCTAGTTTTGCGTTGAAGTCTCCCATTAACACCATATAGTGTATTTTGGAGGAATATACGTCTTTAGAGATATCCTCATACATTTCCTCCAACTCCCCATCGCACTGTGACGAGGTTGGTGCGTAAACCTGTATGACCTTCAACGAATTACGTTTGGTGATTCTGAGTAAGCCTCGTCGACACACTCTCAATCTTTACAACGTTGTTAACGAGAAACTTGTGGACGATAAATCCGACACCTCCTTGGGACAGATGGTTGCCCTCCCGGTGATTCGAGGATTACCGAGTCGTCTCCCTCTCTTCGGACATCAGAAAATCCTATAATATTCCAGAGCAACTTGTCTATCTCTTCTTCCAGCTCCAAGATATTCTCGTCAGTCTTCAGGGTGCGTGCATTATATGTTGCCAGGTCGAGTCGTCTTAGGTGGCAACCGAACCTCCACCGGATATTCTCAGCATCCCTTCCCCGCCGTTACCATGGTCGCCACCGTAGCCAGGAATAGCGGGGCCGCCGGGGACTAGGGGCCGTATCTTCGTAAATTTCGTCATGTTTGTCATGTTGTCACGCTTTGCGAGGAGGTTGGCAGCCGCAGTTTGTTTTATTGTAGTATTGTTATCATCAGGAAGGTGCTGCTGCCCATCTCCTGCCTGTTTCCCACTGTCGCCTCTTACGACACCCACGGGAAGATATATGGTAGGGGATATTCTTAACCACCACTACACGGCAACACACAGATACACACAGATTTTATAATTTTATTTATAGATGAATATCTATCTAAATCAATAAAAACTATGAAATATTATATTTTATAATAATACTAGCTAACCAGGCAGATGTTGTGCTGCCCTTTCCGACGACCATTTGCTTTCCTAAAAAAAACTCCTGAGATTAGCAATAAAGAAATTAAGGGTCACTTATCGAGATAAAATCAATCCTATCTCTCTAGTTTAAGAGTCCATCGCGGACAAACAATGTGACACGTAATTTTTATATATAAAGATATTAAATGATTATTATTATTCTCGTTATTATTTGTAAGTCGTAATTTGGCACTAAGTTAGAAGTGTCTAAAAGTTTTTGACATTAGTTTGATATCAACTAGCGATCCGCCCCGGCTTCACCCGGGTGATTTCTGGATCTCGACCACAGCGTCACCTACTGGGTGCAATTGTAAATCTAACCCACTTAAATACACACAAAAAATTTCATCAATATCGGTCTGGCCATTTTCAAGTTTTTGCGAGACTAACGGACAGTAACGGATTTTTATTTTAAGAGATGTACGAGTACATCTTCCAAATATTTTAGCTAAAGATACCTTTCCTTAACTAGGTTTTAACATGTAAAAGTTAATTCTGACTAGCACCTTTCTTAAAGTTTATAAACACTGATTGAGATTATATATTTGATAATATTAATAAAGCGTATGTATTTTTTATTAATCAAACCGCAAAATATTTTAAAAAGATTTTACATATTTTTCTTACTTTTCCAAAGCTCAGTATATAATAATAGAATATTTTTAATTAAATATTAGATTATAAATAATTATTTACGTTATTATTTTTACTGAAAAAACCTCTGTTTTTTGAAGTTACAGCAAGAAACCTAGCGAGAGTTTTTTAAGATATTTCAATAGTGCTTAGAAAATAATAATAATAGCGAGTACAGACTGAATGGATCAGAAATAAATATGAAACTATGTACTCTTTAATTTCAAGATTAATGATATCAACCTAAAGTATATTTCACAGTTTACTAGGTGTTAACACACAATGGTGACAACAAATGGTAAAATTAAAAATTTTGTACAACTGACTTTAATATAAATAAAATGAGAACATTATCAATGCAGTCGAAGTCTATTAAAAACGCATTAGAAGGATAACTCAAAAACTACTGGTCAGGTCTTGATCAAATTCAAACGAGACCGCATGATAAGCACCAGCTTTCAAATGAAAAAAGAATTATCAAAATCGGTTCTCATGAAAAAAGTTTTCAGGTTTACACACAATAAAAAAATACAGTCGAATTGAGAACCTCTTCCTTTTTTTACTTGGTTGAAAATTAAAACAAATATTTTATATAAATACTTGTAGAACGATTATAAATTTCCTATCTATCAATATTAGAATAAAAATGTACCGCAAAACCACCATGCTATTTTTAAACGTCATTCATTATAAAAGCTTTTAAAAAACTTACGGCACCAAACAAACGCCTTCTTCGCCTCTCCCGAACGCCTCAGACGATTCAACGTAGAGCACAAATAAAATTAATATCACTTCCCTAGATCTCATTTTTGATTTTATTAACACACACAGCTCGTTAACGGACGTTTATTTTGTAATAACTTACACAATCCCGCAACATTGGCACAAACAGCGATACCCTATCGCACCGGAAGTCGAGCGCTTTATGTTCGAAAATATTCCACAATGCTCGACTATTCGCAAATTTATATCGAAGTTAATATCAATAGAACAGCACAATCGTTCATCATCAACTCATCAGTCCGACTAAAGCGATACCTCACCCCGAAACTGTGTTATCAAAAAAAAATTAACGACCAATTTAAACACATGTGAATAGAATAATTATGATTGAAAATAGCGTAGCGACCAACGTCCAGGGTTTTATAATACTACTACATTTAAATGTTGTATATTTAAATGCTTTATAGTATTTTTTAAATGAACTATCCGCATTGTTAAGATTATAAATTTGTCACAGTGTACTAATAATTAGAGACGCTAATTTAAACTATATCGTTACTAAATAATCTATAATTATAATTTAACTGAAATAATGACTTTTCATTTCTAGATTAGTTATAACATTTAAGTACCAGTAATTAATATACTTACCTATAAGTAATTTATTTCAATTATTATATTTATTAGGTACAAAATTGTAAGTCACTATTTTGTTTATGATAAAGTACTTTTTAAATATTTTTTAATATTCCCATTACTAATATTCCCATTACTCACTCTTTGTTCGTCTAACACAAGTTTAAAATGCTTGTGTTAGAAGTGGTTTATGACAGTAATCAAACGACGGATTCGAATCCACGACCTTTTAAGTTACCGGTCTGTACCAAACATTACGCTATTGTCGCTTTCACATTAACTTCTTTACTCAAAAAATCGACGTTAACAATTTTGGAAATGCTTTACGTCTCTCTCTCTCTCTCTCTCTCTCTCTCTCTCTCTCTGTTTTCCATTAATGATAATAACAATTGATATTGACAATAGAAATTAAAATTGATACCTAATTTAATTAAACGAAAACAACGATTATAAAACCACCCTCTTAACTTTTTTATACGTGGTAGAGCCACGCTCTAGGTTATTATGGCACGTTCGGAGAACACACACTCACAGAATACCAACTTATAAAAGCAGCTTAGTGGTGTTGAGTTTCATTGAAAAAAATTATAGAAATACCACGTTATCGGTTAAAATATTTCTTAAATTGTGAAAATTTAGTTAAGCGGTGGTGTAAGAATATCCACTACTCCATACCGTTTCGAGAGCGGCGATAGAAGCAAACTGAAACAAGAGATGGGCAGTAGCCTCTTTTTTATAACAACTCCAAATTATAAAAAAATTGCGATTGCAATCCCGCCTGAATTCAATCTATGAGACAATCTTCGGGTGAGGCCTATTAGGTTCAGCTGTGGACTTTTATAGCTGTAATGTAAAATTAATTTATTACAGAACAGTTCCATGTATAAAATCATTATCAACATCATCGTAACAGCCTATGACAAGTCCACTGTTTGACATAAGCCTCCCCTAGGAATGCAAGATAACACGATACTGAGCCACCTGCATCCATCAAATTCCTACATGTCTTACCAGTTCGTCACTCTATCTAGTGGATGGCACATTACACTTTGCTTACCGGTTCAAGCCACTCTAAAATCTTTATTTCCTTCGAGCTAAATGACTAGCCATTTTTTTATCGAAGATGGGGCAAATGACCATGCGGCTTTTGTCACTTTAAGCTTACTGATACGTTGGTCTTCATCGGTTCTACTGATAAATGATAAATTTATCAATCTATACAAATAAATAAAATTGAAGTGTCTATTTGTAATGTCGAAATAACAGCTTTTTACTATATGCATATGAAAGTATATACGGTACTTATATAACAAAAACAGGATTTTTTAAATTTTTGTCTGTCTTTTTGTTTGTCTGTCTGTTTGTTTCGGCTAATCTCCAAAACGGCTGGACCGATTTTGACCAGACTTTCATTGGCAGATAGCTGACGTTATAAGAAGTAACTTAGACTACTTTTATTTTAGAAAAAGAATTAGGGTTACGCGCATAAAATTAAAACCCATGAAATCCAATCGTAATAAATTACGCACGGGTGAAGTCGCGGGGAACAGCTAGTAGTTCATAAAATATTTGGGGGTCACACTTACACGTAGAGATCTACTTTTCGAATTAGAAATAAAGAAAGAAATGCGTTTTTCCAGTTTAAGCTTGTATTGCAAATGTGAAAATAGGCAAAAACATAAATAAAATGAGGTATTTATATCCTTCTTCCTGCTATCCTACTAATTAATATTAAAATGTGAAAGTTTGTGAGAATATATGAATGTTTGTTACTCTTTCAAGCAAAACTTACAGAATGGATTTTAATTAAACTTTACAATAATACAGCTTATATGTCAGAATAACACATAAGCTATAACTTATAAAAATATTGTGTAAATTGGCCAAAATATTCTCTGAAAAAGTCTTTTATCTGCGAGCTGTTTTGGCGTGAACACGTATCACGTACAAACCTGTGAATCGATTTAGATGGAACTTTCACTTGAAGATAGCTAATGTAACTTAGGCTACTTTTATTTCAAGGTTCCGAGCAAATAAATCCATTAGGGTGAAGTCGCGGGGAACAGTTAGTACATCATAAATTAAAAAAATACACTTTATACCCAGGGCTGTAGCATGAAAGTGAAAAAAGGAGTTTTCAGTCTGTGGAGTACATACTCTGTGGATAAGAACAATGACATTTTGCATTACACCGGACGACTTTATAGACATCCGGCGCCGACAGATAGCGACATGCGCACGAGATGTGAATAGAACCGACCTCATAATATTCTTGCATCTTATCGTAAGCTACGCTTGGAAACTACGCAAACTAACCTACCGCACTTACGCACGCTTTCAAAGATACGTTGTATTTTCTTACATTAGTACAAGCTGTTCCCCGCGACTTCGCCCGCGTGGAATTTATTACGATTGGATTTAATGGGTTTAATTGTTTTGGCGTGGAATCCTAATTCTTTTTCTAAAATAAAAGTGGCCTAAGTTACTCCTGTAACTTATAAATTATATTATAGATATAACATCAGCTATTTGCCAGTAAAAATTGCGTCTAAATTGGTCCAACCGTTTCGGAGATTACCCGGAACAAACAGACAGTGAGAAAGACAGACAAACAAAAATTTCAAAAATTGTTTTTTTTTTTATAAGTACCGTACATAACTTTATATGAATTCAGTAAAAAAACTGTTATATTGTCATTACAAAAAGACACTTCAATTTTTATTTTTTTATTTATTTGTATAGATTATTATTATTATTATTTTGTTATTTATTTCAGGCAGAGCCCATATGTTTTATCAACAAATTAAATTATATCTAGGGTTAGTAAAAAAATACTTATATACACTATAAAAAATAAAAGAAATAATCAAACAATTGTGGGATAGATCCACACAACAACATTTACACTGTTATGCTGCTGTGTAGACCCGCACCCATGCTTGTAGAAGTGGCAAATTCCACCGATCAACAAATACTCCAAGGCAGCGTTGCCAACGCTACGGATTTTCCGTAGATCTACGGAATTTTTTCATCATCTACAGAACTACGGAATACGAGGTTGAAATCTACAAAAACATTTTTTATGACGATTGTGACATAGCCGACAATGTCATTCTCTGTCTCTCTCTTCTTCTATGCTGTCTGTATTAAAAAAAAACATTTTTCATATAAATATGTCATTTTTTGGTGAGGTTAATCGATTTAAAATTTTAATAGCATAGACATTTTGCATTAAATTACGTTTATTTCGAATTTCGAACACTTCTTGGAAAATAGGCAGTTAATATAAATAAAAGCTTATAAAATTTTCATATATGATTGAATTGTAATTTATGTCTATTGCCTTTTTCTAATCCAGATTGTCTCAATTATTTTTACAATTATTAAATAAATTCTGCCCAATAAGTCTTCGCTTTTTATCGATCTTTATTTGAATTTCTCAAAAGTTTTTAGTTGTATAGTTTTTCAATGTTACTTAAATTACCCAAGTCTGAAACACAGTAAATTTATCAAATAAACTAACAGAAACTCTAAAAAATATCTGTGTTACCTTTAGTGAAGATGGTCCATTGTTTTCAAGTTTGTAACGTAATTTTTTTAGTATAACTATTCACAAATATTTAAGTGTCAATTATTTTATTTGTTTTTTACTAAAAATAATTTAATTAAAAGAAGAAAATTAATTTTTAATAATTTTTATGGTACTTTTTTCTTATATTATGTGCAACTTGATTCGATATTATCAATTATACTACACGAATTAAAACTTACAACAAGAATTTTAAAATGACAGAAAGAATTTATCCAAAAACTTGATCTATTCTATGACAAAGACAAAAATTTTTGATCCTCTTTAGAAGTCTGCAGATCTACAGATATTTTGAAATTTCTCTCTTTTTTTGAAATATTTTATATTTTATTACACACACCGCTACAGCCTATCAAAGTCCACTGCTAAACATAGGTCTCCGAATAGATTGCCTCTTAGGGGGGATATTCGCCATAGTTACTACGCTTATCAGGCGTGTTAGCAACCGCTGATTTTTTTTAGTTGTTATTAGGAAGACGCTACTGATCTCCTAGTTTGTTTCCCTCTCTCGCCCCTAGGGGATCCACAGGATGATATGGAGTAGTGGATATTCTTACACGGTACACGGTAATTAAACAAAGATCATACTTAATTAAACAAATATTATAACAATTATTTGAATGATAAGAAACCCTGGAAATGAGGTGATCGCTACTAAAATAATAACAATAATAATAATAATAAAATTAAAATTATAATGTTTTATTTTTCAGGCATCGTAGGCCCATTTCATAGGATGTTAGTAATACAAATAAAATTGAATAAAACTACTTTTACGGATTTTATCGCGTTTAATTAAGTTATTTTATATTCCCGGCATTTCGGTTGCTTTCCAGCAACCGTGGTCACGGGGTACTGAGGTGATTGACTTCCCGATGTCAAAGTTAACCCGGAGTACCTTCAGCCTTTTATTTATTAATTTTGGTCGTAAAAGTAGTTTTATTCAATGTGTAGTGTTCGCGTAAATATAAGATAAATCATAATACAAATAAAACTTAGAAACTTTGCAGGTAAATAAAACATAAATAAATCAAGATAGAAAATCAGAAAAATCGGGGGATTTATCAAGCTTCATCTAGGAACAGACACAAGCTAGTAGTATCAGTTACTCAACTCCATCGAGTCAGTAATTCATTCTTGGGGTGATGTACACGCTTTTACAACAAAGTCCCAGAAAATATACAAAATTTAACCTGCTCAAAGTTCA